AACTTGCCTACATTTCAGGTTGAATGAGTTAACCATCAAAAACTTTCTAAATACTGCATTCCATAAATTTATTATGGCAGGAGCTGTATACAGACAGTGCACTGACTCACTCATGCATCAGTGACCCCACTGTTTGTCACACCAAGTTCTCTCCTATTGTATTAAATATATACAGTTAACAAATAAAAAAGTGGTATGTCAACATGAGCTCTTAAATATGTCCTTCTTTAAAAGGGGGGTAACTGTGGGGCAAACTTTATATCCCCTCTGCAGCATGGAAGGTTATGGTATCATTTTCAGTGGGACTCAAATTTTACTTGGTTAAACCTTTGTATAAGAAGAATTAGTTGTTGTGTGAGATAGGAGAAAAACCCCATGTCTGTGTGTAACCCTCTGAGAATGCCCAGTTCCGAGACAAATTTATGGTTTCTTCTACCTGAGTCACTGGTGGTGGCAAACCACACTTTAAATAAATGTTGCATTAGGATTTTAAAAATGTGAACCGCAAGCAATAAATTAAACAAACGCAGAGAGAGGAACCCTTGGGAGCTCCTGGCTCACCACAGGCTCTGAGTGCTTTTAAGGGGGTGGAAGGTTATCAAAAGAAAGACAAGTCCAGCTTATTACAGTACTGGGATGAAGACTCTAAAAAACTTTTGAAGGTACAGAAAGAGAGTATGAAAACTGAAAAAAAAAATCACATTTATCATTAACAAGCAAAAACTATGCAGCAGCCCCTTCTACCCACAATTACACACGACTAACTTTAGTCAGGCCCTGAAGTCAAGAACAAACACTGAGCTGTGAGGACCGTAACAATCATGTTTTAAGTAAAAATTACATTCTCTGTTTGGCCTCCTCTGATGGAGCAATTGGTGGCAATGCAGGTGGCACAAAATACTCCCTGGTACCTTCTGTGACTTCCAAACACCCAGTCACCAGTCTGGGTACGTTTGTTTTTTTTCTTACTTGGATGCTGCTGATAACCCCAAAAAACATGTTGAACCCTTTGGCTCTCTGAAAAAGCAGCGTTTATTTATAAAAGCAGCGTTTATTTATAAAAGCAAATAATACCTGTTATTCTTCAGTCAATTAACTGAAAGTACTTGCTTGTCAAAATTATGAAACAATTCCTCAATAATAACCTTCTTTGATTTTCTCTAGTCTTCATGTCAGGAGAATCGATCACATTTGGATCCATAATACTGTTTTTCCTGTATTTAAGACGCCTTCCCCCAAACCACTTCTGCCAACTGTAGGTATATGTGTATACGTAAATAGTAGAGAAATTATGAACACTACTGAGCAGCTGGAATGGATTATACTTTGAAATACACAGAGTAACTTATAGAAATTATCAAGGAAAGCCTTTCTCCTAGGAAATTCATGTGTGAATAAGGACCATAAAACTACATTCTTTACTGGTAAAAAATGATGGACAGAAAAAAAAGAAATGTTTTTTCTTTTTTTTAACCCATTAAATAAAACCAATTTTGTTAAACCAAACCAGAAAGATGGAATTTTTCTGTCATGGAAGCAAAGTAAAAGCTGTAAGTCGCACTAGAAAGGGAGTCTTTTTCCTGATTTACTTTTGTTTTAGTTACAGAGCGTCCAGCTCTGTTCCACTGTACTTTGTGACTACAGAACACGCTTAATTTTTGATATTATATAAAAAAATTTGCCATCCTCAGTAGATACTGTCTATTCTTGAATAGGTTCAAATACTTTTAAAGTGAAGATATTATAGAAACATCCAATTATTTACAGGATTCAGGCTGACAGGCCCTACACTTAAGCCTCTCTATTGAATGCATATTCCATATGGCTAATGGTGTCATTCATAGGCAGCCCCTAGAGAGCTTTGGGTAATAAGCATAATTTCTAACTGAGGATTGGGAACATTTTTATTAATTTCTCTGCTCCAATTATGAAATGCAAATTGTGAAAAGTAGAATTTGCATCTTAACTTGACTTATATATTATCTCTGCTTTGCACCTTAGGAAATTACCATATATTAAGTTACAGTTAAAGCTGCACCAATACCATCACAGTTTACTGCAATCAGAATAATTTTATTTAACCTCTTGGCTCAATCATGTTTTGAACTGCAAGATCCATCCTTTGTCACACTTTTAAAATGTGTAAATTAAAAGCCACAGTTCAACTGTTATTAACTAAAACTAACATCTGTCTGCCTAGGAAGCATTTCCTTTCATTGAATACCAGATTTGAAAAATAACCTGTTAAAGAGCTGGATAAACCTCAAAGTCTTGGCAGTTCACTGACCAACTAATTATCCTAAATTTTTGCTTTAACCTAAAGTACATCTTCATTTCAGCAAATAATTAAACAGTTCATTTAACAACCTTGTTCTACAAATCCTAGTTCAGCTCTTTGCTGATCTCATGGCTACTTTCACTAAGCGTAATATTATCCAAAGCACACTGCCAAGTTTCATTAAAAATGTTGATTTAGCCCTTGAATAAATTGCCAGTGTAATGCTATATGTCTATGCCTATAAACACAATTCAGCTGCCCTTCCTGCCACCACACCCACACACAATACATGAGAAAGGTAGCCCTCCTTTTGCTCTAATTTCTATGTCAAACAGATCTTTATTTGCATTCTTCTGAATGTTCTTGGTCATATCTAAGAATATATTTTCATTCCAAAGGACTAGAGAATTGCCACATAACTAGGTTCAACATCGATAAATCTTAAATATTTGCAGAAATAGAACCCTTTCAGTTTTCATGACTCAGTATTTACTTTAGATGCTCTTTATTTCAAGATAAATGCTACTTTCTTTGCATACTTTAAAATCTTACAAGAAATATGTAGAAGTTAAGGACATAATTTCTATGTGGTAACAATGACTGCTGAAAAACTGTTTTCAAAAACCAATCTGAAAGGCAAGGAGAAAAGAAAAACTTGTATGATTCCTTTGGTGAAGAGATATTTTTTACTTTTGACTTAAAATCTTTTATTAGTCAAGTTATGATGCAATAACATAAAGGCAGCGTTAGATTCCTGATGTTTGGTTTGTGACAGCCTTGGTGAACATGAAATGATCACCAAAATTTCAAAAATAATTCTAAATAAGCTGTATTTGCTAAAGCAAGGACTGTTGGATATGGTTTTGTGCAACTGCATCTTATCCATAAACCATTTACATTAGTATTTACACTAAAGAATCAACTCCTTCTGCAGGTCTATGCAGGAGAGTTCAGAAGGGCTCATCTGTGCATTTGCAAACGTGATCACAATCTGTCATTTGATCTTCCTGCCAAGCAGAAAAACCATGACACGCTTCCAAGGGCTGCACATCTCCCATGTTTGGGATGGAGCCCTTCCAGAGGTGAAGGAATTCCGAGGTTAAATTCCCCCCTTGCCTCCCTGCCGCCCTAGCAGTCTGGGGTGGTTTGCTTGGAATTAGGAATTTTATTTTTTTGCTCAGTGACACAATACTGGAAAACATTTTTGGGCAGGACCCCAACATCCTGTCAGCTTAAGATAAAGCCTTTTTGCACCACATAGGATCTGGCATTCCGTCAGCACAAATTAGTGGAGAAACTTCATAAAAAAAGGAACATCTATATTTGTGAACTGGTGCTAATCCCACATCTCCCTCCTTTTGACAGGCTGGAGAGAAGCGAAAATTATTAGCCCAGCAAATTGACTGAAAACTTGATTAGCACCTGGCAGAAGATTTAAGATGAAGCTCAAAAACCCTCAAGGATAAAATAATCAGAAAAGTGGAAATTGTTACAGTTTGGCTTTTGTAATTTTTCAGGTGAATGCAGAGATTCTGTATCTCCTTAGTTAATCAAAGAACAACCACTGCCACATAGTGCAAAGAGAAAAAAGGGGGATAGAGACTGATAGAATGGATGTTCCATTTGGCAAGCCTTAAAATATAACTAATTATATTATAGCCCAGAAGAAAAGACACTCTTCAGGTTCAGCTCTGACTAGCTCCACAATCATATGAGAACTTGACTGTACAGTAGGAAAAACTTAATGTTGCTCTGTTTTCTTTTCTAAAATTTGCCCTACTTAAGGGAATTAAATGAAAAATATCAGTATTTTCTTAGTCTTTCCCCTACACAGAGGACTCAGATATTAATAAACAGATGACTGATTACTCAGTCCAAGGACTTTCTATACTCCTCTGTAATAATTTGCTTCCATAGGTTTTGCTTCAGCAATCAATACTAAAAAAAAGTGAAACTGAATTTCAGCCAAATACAGGCAGATTTTCAAAATTAAATGGATAACATGGGGAAAGGGCGTTCTTCATTGCAATTGTAAAATAACAGAAAATAGAATCTGATATTTTTCTACACCATTCTAAAAAATGCAATTTTTCAACTAATAAAGCAGGACTGTAAATTTAAACATTCCCAGGTGGCATCAAGCCACAACCTTCTACATCAAAATATAATAATAAAAGAAAATTCTCTTGGTTTTCATTATTAAAAATCTTTGCTAGTCATGGGAAATGTCTTTGTAATATACTTGTGCCCCTGTCTATTTAAAGAGTTTGCTATCCATGGAATATAACAGACAAAATAGGAATATAAGTATCTTCAAATATAATTTGCCATATGTTTTAAAGAAATACCACTAACCGTATTGCAGCTCTGAGTTAATAGCATGTGAACCACCTCCCAGACCATGTGAAAATTCTTCCAGAAGTTGAAATTGACATAAGAAGAAAAATATCTACAAGTGCTACAAATTCTGATATGTTCATGTTTTTAAATTTTTTTCTCCCTCATGATTTTATTTTTCAAAATAAATCCATTCTGGTCTATTAAACACGGTACTGTGAGTTGATTTCCACTGAAATTTCAAGGGCTGAACCACAGGGTGATGAGGTTGGAAGGGACCTCTGGAGGTCACCAACCCCAACCACGACCAGTTGGGTTTGGAACACAACCAACCTACGATATCTTTAAGTATAAAAACATTTAAATACATTTAAAAACTGCTTACTTTTCTTCAGGTGGTTGTTCTGCCTCATAAGCTGCCACCTTAGGCCCTGTCCCAGCAGGTTTTGCAGCCCTTTGTCTTCTCTTCCTTCTTGGAGCTGTGTCAGCAACATCTGGGCTCCCCAGGAAGGAGGAATCCCTTCGCTCCGGTGCTGCCAAAGGGAAAAAGGACCAAAAAAACTCAAATATGAAACACTGCAAGAAATGGAAAGAAATGCTTCCTCTGATACCTCTTTGTAGTCAGTGGACAGTAAGAACTGGGTAATCTGTCTAGATTTTCCTTGACTCTTTCGCTGAGGCTGAGTAAAGTAGGCTCTGTCCCTGTTCATTTTCCTAAACTATGGTTTCATACCTGGTTCATATTTAACTTACCAAGTAATTTCATAAAATATGCATTATCCACACTTAAAACACAATGCCCTCTCTGCTTTGATGATTACCTCCTTGAAGCTCAAATCTCAAGAAAACTAGATCCTTCCTTAAGCTAAAATCCCCCTGAAAAGCCCCTATTAATGCACTCAGAAGTTATGCAGATATTTTTTCTCCAGCTACCAACATCCTGTAGCATATTTTCATTTGGTATGCCTGTTTTAAAAATAAAATCCTTAACTAACTATAATTTTCAGGACAATGATACCCAGAAAAGCACAAATTTCAACTGAAATACATTAAATAATAATGGGGTGACTGAGGCTGATGCTGTTATGGTAACTTCCCTGATTATTACTTTCTGTGCAATTTAGAGAGGTTTAATCTTGACATGGATGAAAGATGCCATAATTTTGAGCTTCAACAAAAAAGGTTCTCACAGAAAGTAAATAATAAGTCTTGTTTCTTCATTCCTTTCACATCTACTCAAAGCGAAACAGGAGGATAATATACAACCCACAAGTGGCATTTTCACTGTTTCTCAAAAAAAAATGTGCTTCTGATCAAGAACATTGTTAAATTAAACAGAGGCTCCAGTGCAGCCACTGCTTACAAAGAAGAACATCCTGAACATTTAATAATACTAAATATTTACCAGCATGCACTATACTACATTACAGGCATACAGATATTTGTAGGGTGACATTAGGCATTAGCTGACAAATTTCCAAAGCATAAGCTTAATTAACAAGTTTCAAAGTGCAGTACAGACAAGAGACACATTCCCACAATAAATTCTGAAAAGGGTTAAACTACAGCCCAATTCTCCACATGAATCTTTAACTAGATATGCTTACTTTTCCAGTGCTAAATGTTTAAAATACGTTCATGATAGTTACTATTTACCTGCAGCATGTTGGAGTTAGTACGTCTAACATTTGCACAAACACTATTTTATATATTCCAACACCACTGCCTAAAGTTGGCCTCTTCATAATTAATGCATATAAAATAGTTTATTGTCAAGAACCCAACAGCTCTTATCCTTTTTGTTGTTCTCCTCCTACACCCTCTGCTTTGGCCAAGAAGTAGATCCAAAGGTTAGCCTCATACACAAAACCTCCATAATGCTGGTGTTAGATAAAAAATGTCTCTGTTGTGACTTGTGCAATATGCAGTGGTGATCATAGCCCTCATGCTCAGCATTGTTCTGTTGTTTAGACACAGGACAAAAACAATTTAAAATACATTTTTTTTCTCTTCTTTCTAAATAGGAATTTTTCTTTTAATAACACCAAAAAAAAAAAAAAAAAAGGTTTCTCATTCAGACAGTCCAGAATGCAATCTTACAAACAGCAGCAGACTGCCTCAGAAGTGACGGTTGATCACCACAGGCTTGGGGTTTTTCATTTTGTGTTTCATTTCTCATTTATTTTAAGCAAACTCCCTGTTAAAACCACTAATGAAAAGAAGGCATATACTTGAAGCATCACCATAAGACTTTAAACACACACGCAGTACTGCTGCCCTGAAATTATTCCCATTAATGAATTAATTTATAGCACTTGTCTAAAGGCCAAAGAAAGCTTAAGCAAAATATTATTCATTGCTCAACACAAAATCATTGGGAAAAATGAGAAACTGTCTTAGATGCAAACCTAGTTTTTCATTCTGAAAATATTTTCTGTCTAAATTTCAGCACTATTTTAATGAAGTAAGGTTCCTTGAGGCCTCAGGAAACAGAATTTCTTACTTTTATATTATGTAATGCAATACGAATGACTGTTACACCTTTGAGAAGAATAGTAGCAGTTTTAATACAGACAAGAGTACTGCTTGATGAAAGCCCTCAGCTGAACCACATAAAACAAGCACTGATCAAGAAAAGAAAATACTCCCAATAGATAACATACCTTCTGCAGGTGAGAAAATGCAAGAAGCAAGATTGAGGAGAGAATAAGAAAGGGAACTGTAGCTCAAGTACTAAATTATTTGTGCTAAGATTATAGACTTTAAATAAAAATTCCTCCTGTATTTTTTGTTGTTGTTGTTTTGAAGAGTGATATTATTTGGTGGGTAAGGGAGTTTTCAAATAAGATAGGATATTCTAGAAAATAACTGAAAACTAAAAAGAGCTATTGTTGGTTTGGAAACTTATGATGAAATTAAATCAATACAGTCCTACAATAGTTGGTGACACAACATGTCTTTAATATAGGAAAATGCCAGGACTCATTCTCCAGGCATTTGGTAATACATCATCACCATCTCTGACACTACAGGCATTTAACTTCTATAGACTAGTTGAAGATGGGCAGTCCAGTTAGATTTTAAAATAGATTTCTGCATTACTTTACTTTGATATACAGAAGTCAATTGTTTAAAAAGAAATATATATATATAATATATATAATATAAATATTATATTCACTTTTTAGTTTAGAAAAAAAAATTACCCTATGCACCTTCATTCTCTGTGTATCACCACTCGCAATCAAAATTCTACAGCTTTGACTTGTCTAAGTATTAATGACAATGCTGTCCTCACAGAGAAAACAGGATCCATCTCCTCCCAGGACAACAATAAAGGACTTAAACCAGCACTAAAAGTTTTGCCATAAAAAATGTATAGAGGGAGTAAAGCAAGCAAAAAATGAGTAGAAGATTTCCAAATTTGAGCAATTTGATTGGCATCAATGACCCAGCTTCACAAAGACAGAACATACATCGATGTCCAAATTATGAAAGATATACCACTGGCATGAAAAACATATTACAATTCATGAGATTTTACCCATAGTAAACAGACATACCTTCCCTTCTCTTCACCTTGCTATCCTATATTTAAGATATAACAAAGGATCCAGTGGATTCAAGGAACATTCACATTTTCAGTAGATACCACTAAATGAAACATATTCAGCTTTGTTCACAATAAAGAATGTGCACCTATAAAAACAAAAATCCAAACTTTGCTTGTAATTGAAATGGAAAAGGAAAGATTTACCAAGGACACAGGCATTTATCCTCAAGGGAAGCCTTTATTTAAAATTACCTCCTGTCTGGGAGATTTTATTAACAGCAGCACAAAACTCTGTCAACTTTCTCTTCTGAATGAGAACTTAGCTTTTTTGTCAGAGTAGTTAGGACGTATGAAAATTTGTTCAGATTTTCAGATATTAATGCTATCGTAGGTCCCCTAAATTTCTCTCAGCAGAATCTCTTAGCTGAATTCTGCCTAACTCCAGGCACTTTGTGTTGCTGCACGGAGATAATCAACTGGACTTCCAAGTTCTGCTGCCTGTCTTTAATGAAGCTGATGATTTATCTTAAAATCAGCACCAGTAGAAGATAAACTAGACCAAAAGGTGACAAAGTGGTCACAAAACCATCACCTGAAGAGCACCAGGATTGCCTGTGACAATTGTTCCCCAAGATACTAGAGAAAGAAAAAAAAAAACCCAAAACAGAAAGGGAGCAGAACTCATCACTTTAATCCCTGACTGTAGTGTAAATTCTGCAATTATGTGGTTTCTCAATCCCAGCCTAATTCCTGAAGGATCACCATGGCTGATAATAATTAGCATCTCTTTGACAGTCTCAGCAGAGCCTTCTAAATGAATGGGTATGGAAATTAACACCTCTCACTGGTGTAGCAGTATTTGCAAAGTGGGATTAAGTCACTCTTGACAGGCAATTTAGGAAATACCACTTTAGAAAACTACCTACAATAAAGTTATTCTGTGTATATAGATTTTGGCCACAGGCATTTTTCATAAGAAATAGATGTATTTAGATCACTCAGAGATCACAAATTAAACACTGGCATTCACAGTTCGTGTATCTGCTGTAGTGAAAGTAACAGGAATATGTCACTATTTTAATTTTAGGAAAACAGTGAGAACCCCTCTGCATTTCCTTTGTTTTGGCCTACTGTCTATTTCAGCATTTGTATGAATTGGGGTTTATTGTACTGTAATCCCCTGGGGCCGAAAGGCGGTTGAGACTGAGGTTCTATAAATTCTCTGTCAACTAGTTATTAACATTTATTTTTATAAAGAATATCTCCATGGGAAGTGTTTATGAAGACACATTTTAAAACAACTCCAGCAAAAAGTTTAGATCCAGCCCTACAAAATTTATAAATTGTATTCAGTTCAGTACGGAAGTTTACATTTCACCCTGTAGGCTGTATTACCACAGACTTTTCTATTTGCAAAGTCTATTTTTTCCTGATGTCATGTTTTTCTAAAAGATTTTTAAAGACAATACTTTATTAAATTTTAAAAAACCCAAGCAAACAACCCCCCCAAAAAAAACCCAAAACCATACAAACACACAAAAACCCCCACAAACAAACAAAAAAAACCCCAACAAAAACCAAACAAAAACCCAAACCAAACCAAACCAAACAAAACAAACAAACAAAACAAAACAAAACAAACAAAAAAAACCACACAGAAAATCAACTTACTTCAAACCTGCAGGGAAACTTACCATGTTATAATATAAATCTGTTTGCCATGCATTTTCCTTCTCAATGACTATTTAATGGAGATAACTCAGATGTTTATCTGTTGCCATCTCATATTGTCTTAAAACTAAATGGCAAAAAATATTAAGGTAAATTTGACAAGCAAATAATAATAAGTTTGGTCAGGAAGCATGAAAAAATCTTTCCATCTATCAAAATACCAAGGTAAAAAAAGAATGCATTTTATATGTGTCTGCAGACTGTGAAGGTGCTCATTAATTTTAATCACCAAGGCCATGATCTGTAATA